GTTCAGAGCTTGGTTCATACAAAGGGCCTCCCATCGCACTACGATTAAACCCAAACATCGCACCAGTTAGGATTAAGCCTAGGAGGGTGCCATTCGCCCTCAAAGGCAAGATTGATGCTGAACTGGACAAGCTGCTCCAGCAGGGCATCTTGGAACCTGTGGATGCAAGTCCATAGGAAACCCCAATTGTGACGCCTTTAAAGGCTAACGGGGAAGTCCGAATTTGCACAGACTGTAAATGTACTCTGAACACAGCTTTGCAACAGCATGCATATCCTGTACCAGTAGTGAGTCATATTCTGGCCTCCCTTAAAGGGGGAACACTGTTTGCAAAGCTTGATTTAGCACAGGCCTATTAACAGCTACCTATTGATGAGGCAACTGCTGAAGCCCAAACAATAGTGACACATAGGGGCGCTTTTAAAGTAAAAAGGTTACAATTTGGGATGAATGTTTCTCCTGGCACATTCCAGAGCGTCATGGAGCGCACGCTCAGGGATATCCCGGGGGTTTGCCCCTACTTTGATAACGTCCTCATTGCAGGGGAGTCATCGCAGAATTTGGCTGAAAGATTAAGGGCTATGTTGATGAGGTTCCATCAAGTGGGCCTCAAATTAAAAAAGGACAAATGTAAAATTGGTGTTACTTCTACAGAATTTTTAGGCTTTAAAATAGATGCTCAAGGCATCTATTGTGAGTTCCAGGCTTTTCTTCAGGCCAACTTGATACGGCATGCAACGTCAGCTCCCTTCCACCCTTCCACCAACGGGCAAGCTGAAAGTATGGTGCACACCACCAAAGATGCGCTCAAGAGACTAACGCACGGCAGCTGGCATCACAGGTGAGCAGACTTTCTTCTTGCACACCGCACCACACCTTGCACTGCCACAGGGAAGAGCACAGCTGCACTCCACTGGGGCCATCACCTCATCACAAAGTTAGACAGATTGCACCCCGACTGGGTGTCTTCCCAGGTGTCACAGCCACGGGCTCCTCAGAGACTTCATGTGGGCGATCCAGTCTGGGCTAGGAACTATGGTCCTGGACATCTCTGGGTTCCTGCTGTCATCTGTAAGATCTCTGGACCTCTATCATACGAAGTGGCCTTGGGAGATGGCCACGTCCTGCAGCGCCACATCGATCAACTGTGCTGGTGGTTGTCCCCTATTGATTCCCCCCCTGCCTCCGCTCTTGCGGGGGAGGGGGCCCAGGAACTATGTCAAACTTCAGGTCAACATTCGAAGACCCCGCCTCATTGTGCCTGGGAATTACCGCAGGTCGCTAGGGACTTCCCAGGGGAGGAGCATCCTCACGGTTCAGTTATTGCGCCAAACAGGGAGTCATGCGTATCCGCAAGAGCTCCAAACAGGAATTCTCCTGAGGAGGGGTTTGCCATAGAGGCAGCTCCTGACTCTGGCACCTCGGCCACAGGGGACTGGAACTATTGGAGCACTCCTGCAACACAGGTCATGTCCGAGACTGGTTGCAACTCGAGGGACTAAGTTTCCTGGAGCCATCCAGGTAGTTGGGGAGTCCTCAGCCACTCCAGAGGGTTGGGGAATTTCCTCTGCTCTAACAGAGCATGGGAAGAGCCCCGGCAACTCTGCCAGCACGCCTCACCAGGAGTCACCTGCAAAATTTGTGCATAAAAGTCCTGGTCTAGCAAGCCCACCAGAGGGGCTGGTAGGCCAGGCACCCTTAAGTACAAGTCCTGGTCTGCCTAGCCGGGCAGGTGAGCTGACAGGCCAGGCACCCTCCCTGACTTTGCGTAGGTCACAAAGGGCTAAGGCCCCTCCTAAGCACCTAGGTGAATATGTGAGGTTCCTGTCAGCACAAGGAAACCTTACTAGTCTAGGATAGGAGTTGGACCTATGTGGGATAGAAGATAGACACAGGAAGTCCACATTAAAGGGTGGGTTGTTAGAGAACCCTATTATTTTATAAGAATGTTGCCTGCATGTGAGCAGGAATATTTTTAATTTTTTTATTTTTTATTATTATGATTGTGAAAAATTGGAAGGTGTGTTCTATCTAGGGGGGAGGGGTGTTGTGTCCTGGGCCTGGTGAGGGAACTCAGCAGGCCCAGAAATGTTGCAAATGGTCCCGGGCAACCTAAAAGCTGCCCGGGACCAGACTGGCGCTGGACTACTGCGCATGCGCAAGGCGCGAAGAAAGAGGGATTCTTATTGGCTGGACTGCCTGGGGTTGGAAAACTATAAAAGGCCTGCATGCCTGTTTTGCAGTTGCTTGGAGTGGAGTTAAGGAGAAATAAAGAAGTTTGGTTTACGATGTGTTGTGCTTCAATGCCTCGAATCCCGAAACACAAAACTTTCCTTCTATTTTTTTTTCCACAGTGGCCAACATTCATACAGTAAGCCTACATTAGCATTGGAAAAAGCACTGAAGTTCCTGCCCCTATATAGACTGGCTTTGTTCATGGTTGGGGGGGGACTTTCGATGTGTCCACCCTGTTTGTAGATTAGCTTTAATTTCAATCTTAATGAGTGACTCTACCAGGAACAACTCCTCCCATTGCTTTCAAAGCCATTGCATTATTTTAAAATTGTAGCACAAATAGAAGCTGAGAAAATTAAAAAAAACAATTTATGATATTATTAGCTCCAGTTCACTAAACTATAAATTGGAAGTAATCACTGACTGATTGAATTATTAATCAGTGATTTATTTGTTGGCATCATTCATGAAACATTCAGCATTGCTGAAAAAGTAAAGGTAATTTCTGCTATCAGTAGAGGCAATGTTTGTATGAACCTGGCTGTAGCTAAAATTATGTGTCTTACATTCACCAGAAGAGAGTATTATGCATAATAATATTGAAATTATGCATTATTATTCATAAGTTATGCATTTTTATCAGCACAGCACATAGACAAATGATCCTTTCATTAAGCATTTTTTAGAAAACGGGACAATATTATGTCTGACCAACACGCACACATTTATTTGATAACAATCAGAATACTTTGACCAAGAAATTCTATAACAGTGGTTCTCAACCTGTGGGTCGGGACCCCATTTGGGGTCGAACGACCATTTTACGGGGGTCGCCAAACAAGGCTGTCTGCCATTTTTTCCCCTTTTCTTTGGCCACACCCCTGGCACCTGGTGATGTATAAGTGGTTGGGGGTCACCACAACATGGGGAACTGTATTATGGGATCGCGGCATTAGAAAGGTTGAGAACTACTGTTCTAGAACATGTCAATACTCTCAAGAACTATTCTGTTTCTTTTCTTTCTATAATAGCTATTGTTTTCCACTGAACACACAACTTTGAATAGGTATGTACCACTAAGAGGGTAAGGTGATCTCTGCTGACCCTAGTAAACTGACCCAATAGACCTAATAGACCTAATAGTGACTTGTATTTGTAGTATGTTTTATTTATTTAATATATTTATCAAATTTCTACACTGTCCATAGAAATTATAAATAAAACCAATCAGTCCTATAACAGACATAATTTAAAAAATCATTTAAAAACAATAAAACAGAACTTAACATTTGAACAGTTACAAGTTTAAAAGGGCAACCTTTATTGAAAAATATCTTTCAATAGTTACAGCTGAAATTGATCTGAAACTTGAGTTTTATATGTACATGATGACCACCAAATTTGTTTGTTTTCCAGATATTTCTTAACCTCTGATGAATGTTGGTAATCGAAGAAAAAGAGGCAATTATACATAAGATTTAAAAAAAATGTAGCCCAACTGCTGTTTTTAAACTTCTGGTTCTGATTTAGAGATTTCACATGAGTTTTACTGCTATCTCAGAAATGTTTTATAGAATAAATACAGAAATTAAATATCTAAGGTTAGAGAATTGGTGAAGAGAATAATATCTTGTTTCATCTGATACCTATGATTTAGAATGCTATCATTTTGGCACCAGAACAAACATTTTATAAGAGATTTTCCCAAATTTTTATTATATTTGATAGCATTCACCATTCAGCCTGTTCTTATTAACTTTTGTTGTACTTGTATTTTTCTACATTGCTACTGATATAATATTTTTATTTCAGTATTATATGGTGACCTGGTAGCAAATACTGATGGCAACAATTTATACCTTTTCTAAGCAACTATTCTCTTTTCAACAGTTTATTTCACAATAAACTTATTTCTACTGAAAAATATGAAGAGCAGAAGTGTGATTTATCACTTATTAGAATAAATCATTTCTGTTTATATCTCATGTAAAGAAACAAAGGATGGAATATACCATGTCTTGGGATGCAAACCCAAGGATGAGCACTAAATGGCAACCATAAGAAAAAGAAGCCTTCTAATTCTTTGCAGCTGCCAACTATCTTCTGAATGTTTTGAAGACCAGGATGGTATGCCTAAAAGTCTTTCAGGCAACTGAGTGGAGGGTCTTTGGAAGGAAAGGAATGTAAAGGGTGCGCTGCCAGCAAATTGGCAGTTGACTAGTCTAACAGTTGGGAGAACTATCTAAAGTTGCCTTGGTGCCTAGGGAACTCAACCTCCTCCTCCAGACTATGTAGCAGCCATTTTATAAGACTGCCCATCCTCTGCTTTCAGAATTCCAAATGTGTGCACGGGAAACCTCTATTGCAATTCTAGAAAAATAAAATGGAAAAATATGGAGGTAATATAAAGTTGGATCACAATTGATGTCAGTGTGTATTAATATTTCATATTTCAAATTAACACACTTCTATAGAAAAAACACTATTTTTAATAGACCCAGGTTCATTATATAAAAGTAAAGGTCCATCAGTGTGTGTGTATCTCTGTGTGTGTACATGTGTGAGAGAAAGGGGAGGGGGGAAGAGAGAGAGAAGCATTTTGTGTATGCAGTGTTTCCAATAAAATACAGCATGATTGGTGGCATTCCAGCTTTTCAGTAAACTTTCCAGATTTAGTAGTAACTTAGTAGTCCAAAGCAAATTGATTTTTAAATAGTTCATGAAGAATCCCAATTGATACAAATCAGGTTGTAAGAAGCACTTACCTCTACTATGAACCATCTTTCCTCAGCTACCAGTGTCAATGGAGAGACAAATTTTCCTTTTTTATAATAAAATCTATCAGGGATATCCTCTTTCCTATAGACTGTCATATGCGGCACATTTTTCAGTTTGTTATATATCTGCAAAGGAATAAAAGCATGAAATTGTTTTCAGTGTACAGAATTATTCCACACCAATCATACTGAAAATCAAACCACTTGTGAAGATTTTCCTTTAAATATTCTTACTTTGGCTTCTTGCATTCTATTAGGAAAAATTGCCAACAATAAACCAGTGAAAAGTCAGAAATTAGAGGGTAGAGAGTTTGATTTTCTTCTGCTCTTCTTTTTATGGTTTTTTATGACACGAAGCCTTCAATAACAGATGCATCAAAACACCTTGTATGGTTAAAAACAATGACAGAAATTTCAACTTGGAAAGGGGCTCTTTAACTTTGCTGGATGTGTTTTAATGCTATATTGACCATTCTGGAAATGTCTCAAAGTTGTCCTGGTTATATTGAGCTGGGAGGCATCTAAAATGATCTAAATAGCCATTTTAAACTCAGATCAGGATGTTTTAAACTACAAACCAGGGGTCTGTACTAAACATGTTTTGCATACAACTGTTATTAAGACTGAGTAATTTTAATGCTCAGAACAAAAGTAATTCTTGTTTAACAGGAACCTTGCCTTGGGATAATTGCTGGCTATTCTGAGAAATCTTGGAAGATAGAAAGTTTGGTACGGTAGTTAATGCACCAGGCTAAAACCCAGGAATCAATGAATTCTATTCCCAAGTAGCCATGAAAGTCAGCTCGGTGACTTTGGCCAGACATTTTCTCTTTCAGCCCAACCCACCTCACAGGGTTGTTGTTGTGAGGAAAATAAGAGGAAGAAGGTGTGTTGGACGTGTTCACTGCCTTGAGCTATTTGCAAAAACAATAAAGGCAGGATATAAATGAATAAATAATAAATAGAAACCTTGGTGCCATCTTAGGTTTTTGGTAGTCTCAGGCAACTTAGTTGAGTTCTTGGAAATTATTACATTTCCCCAAGCTCTTTCCAATATAAGGGAATATATAGGTAGTCCTTGACTTACAACAGTTCATTTAGTGACTGCTCAAAGTTACAGTAGCACTGAAAAAAGTGAGTTATGACCATTTTTCACACGTATGATCGTTGCAACATCCCCATGGTCACGTGATCAACATTCAAACACTTAGCAATTGAGTCATATTTATGACAGTTGCAGGGTCCCGGGATCCTGTGATCACCTTTTGTGACCTTCTGACAAGCAAAGTCAATGAGGAAGTCAAATTCACTTAATAGCCATGTGATTAACTTAACAACTGCGGTGATTTACGTAACAACTGTGGCAAGAAAGGTCATAAAATGGGGCAAATGTCTTGCTTAGCAACAGAAATTTTGGGCTCAATTGTGATTGTAAGTCAAGGACCACTTGTACATAGCTCAGTGCACTTACTATTATCTCGTCAGGAAATAAAATGCCTGCAAGCAAACAACCAAGCTTAGAGTACATAAGGATTCCAAGCTGTTTATATAAAGATAAAGGGAAAAGGGAGATGGGTCTTCTTTGTGACTGATACTTTAATTTCAAACCTAGTTAAGGAAGATTTTCTTCTTTCTTACAGTGACAGTGTTTTGGAGGAAAAGGGTAGAGATTTCAGTGGGAAAGAAAAAGAACAACGTCACTATTTTTCAAGTTTGTAACTACAATAGCCATCTCTTTGCAAGAAATGTAGCTTGGAGCACCTTGACAGCCTTCGCTACTTTCATACAAATTGACAAAAACCATAGATCAGTAAACCAGCCAGTTAAAAATATATACCATGTAAAGCATATTTACCTCTACTCTATGCTACAGTAAACCAATGTAAACCTATAGTAAGATGCCTTCATAATAATTCCAATAGGTTGATGGAAATCCCAAATTCCAAAGGAAATCCATAGAAATGTATAGTTCTTTGTTGATGCAAGCAAATGGCTGCAGACATCCCTGCTGAAAAACGTGGTTAAGATTAGCCACTCCCAGAGAAATGACTGCATGAGTCGTGTCTTTCTGTTTCTGGCTGAAATTTGCATATGTGAAACAGTAGACATGGACAATGTAGTGGTACATCTTTTTAATTTTTTAAATTTTTTAAATTTTAGGCAATTTAATTAGTTATTAGTTTTTATTTTGGCACTGCCTTTTTCTGAAGTAAATAAAATAAATTTATATCTAATACCTCCATATATGTGTGTGTTGTCTGTCTGCATATATTTGTGCGTGGATGTGTGTGAGATATTTACTCATTTCAGTATTGGGAAAAATTTCGGGATTAATTTCAACTGGAGTTTGATATTTTGGGTAAACTGGACTTTTGCCTGTGCTGATTTTTTTTTCCCCAGCTCCCTTTTCTTATCAAAGTCATCACATTCAGAGACTCTTCTTTTTGGATAAATACAGTATAGACAGTTTATAATATATTCCTATGGAGATAAGGAAGAAGACACTTCACTCTGTTATTAATGTGGAAAATATGAAAACTAAGATTCCTGGCATTCTTCTCCACATTCTTGTCCTTTGTAAAACAAACTGGACTGTTTGTGAATGCATAAACCTATCAAGACAACTTGGTATATTAAGCACATACAACAAGACAACTTGATATATTAAGCCTAAACATCCACAAGTAGCCTAAGAAAAACAAAAGGTCGCTGTTCTTGCCTCATTTTCTTTGCCTTTCTCTGGCCACAGGCTTACAACTGGCCCTCGGTCCTTCACTTTTATAACATCACTCATGTTGATGCAGTTTTTCAGTTCAATCACTTTGTCCATCCAATAAATATCAGTCATCCCATGATCAGAAAAGAAAACAACATTTAAATCATTCTGCAAATTCTTGTCCTGTCAAGAAAGTTAAGAAAATAATTACAGTATGAAAAGAAGACCATTTGCTCTCTCTCTCTCTCTCTCTCAGATCAAGTAAAAAAATAACCAGGCTTCTGAAATCATTTGTTTGAATACCGTCAATGTAGCTCGCCTTCTATGCATTTTTACCTAACAGCAGCAGGGCAACTATTAGTGAAATTGTTAGCTAGGTAAAAATGCATAGAAGGCCAGCTACATTGACGGTATTCAAACAAATGATTTCAGAAGCCTGGTCATTTTTTTACTTGATCTGAATATTTGAAATCAGAGGAATGAAATCAGGGGAATCAGAGGAATGCTTTGGAAGCACAAATTGTGTTTCCAAAACTTGAAGCAAAGTTTTCTCTCAGTCCTACTCAATTGACAAAATATAAGGAGGCAAAGAGAAACTGTTTACCCATCATTTTATTTGACAGCTCCTTTTATTATACTTATTATTAATTAATTAATTAGATTTATTTGCAATTCATCTCATCTTCATAATTAAGAAGAATTAATTAATAAGAATTAAGACTATTATATAATTTCTTCCAGTTAAGCATTCCCAGGTAACAAAGAAGTTGGACACAAACTTGTAATTTTGGAAACTTGGGGATCTTTATGTAGGATCTTTTAACATGAAAAAAGTCACACACGGAAACAGATAATCTTCACTTTATTACTACAATTTTGGTATGTTCCACTTTCCGCTTTCCCAAATTAGTTTTTTGGAGATAATGGACCCTATCCATTTGGGGTTTCTAGAAAAATATGGAACTCAATACCCTGAGTTGTATAGCTTATGGTACTGAAGGAGTATATACAGTATGGGCTACCATAATCATTTCACAAATGTGAATGCCCTTCCCAAAGTCAAAATCCCATGCTTCAGTGAAGGAGTGCCAAAATCACATGAGAAGAATTATTTAGAAAATTTCCACAAAAAATATTCTGAGAGTGGAATCTAATGGAGATTCACTGGCTTGGGAAAACTCCCCAGTCTGAATAGAGCATCCTAGGATATACATGTTCCTTAATATTCAGAATAGAAGCAGTAAGTAACCTATGAAATAGTCTTTACTGAATAGTCTCAAATATTTAATAAAAAAGTTGAAGAGAGTAAAAGAAACATCTTTAAAAGGATATTGTAGCTTCTAAGTGACAGAAACCTTGATAAGCTTAGACATCCTGAGCAAAACGTTATCCACTGCTTTTACAGCATTCTTCCTCTGATAAGATGAAGGGCCAAAACGATGACCTTCTACATCAATCCGTTCATAGTATATGGCTGCCATATCTGCTGCACCATTGCTGTAATAGGAACATCACCACCAAAGAATTAAGTGTAACATAAACTTACTTCTAGTGTGCCTTTTCAATCTGATCTGATTCTTTTCCTGCTCTCTTGGCATGTTTTCTAAGAGAAGCGTTAATTCTTTTAATTCTTCTTGTTTTATTTTCAGTCTAAAATAAGCCTAGATAGACATCCCAGCTCTAACCACATGGCCTCTTCCCCACTTCCTCATTAGTTAATTAGCATTGTTATTCCTATCTGATTCTTTTAAATTAGATCTGAGGAATCAGTTGTCCTACAGAAGCAATTGAACTTTAACTGCCAGTGTTCCTGACTTTGGCCCTTTTGAAAGAGATTGCACAGAATTATAATTTAAGCATTTTTGGGAAGTAAGAGTTTCCTTTCCACTATTTTAACTTTTCATAGATTTTTCAGAGTTCCTGACTGTGCAGGTACCTGTAGGTGAGGCCTTGCTTAGACACTTTTCTGATGTTCAGATGAATCTGAACTGGGAAGGAAGAACCTGCTTCATGAGGTTACTTCCACTCCCCATCTTGCAGATCTAAACACACTGTTGTGGCATTGCTTGAATATTTCGATTAAGTCCTTATCAAAGTCAGATATAGAAAGTTATGGGATATTCATGATTAGATTTCCAATCATAGATATCATCTACTTTCTGAAAGTAGTTCAAGGAATGGAAAAGATGTACCAATTTCTTCATCTGTTATTTCTTTATCATTCCTCTCCTATTTGGTTCATGGAGGTAAGCATGCAAGACAAATTCAAAATATGCAAACTTCAGAAAATGATACAATTTTTTTAACTTCAGTGTATTGTCTCAATGCATGATATAAAAGTTTAAAAGGAAACCTGGAAATGGAGGACGGTTTCTCCAGGTTGCCTCTAATCAACCTTTAATTTCAAGTAAGTGTATGAAGGTAAGTCCTGTCTGATTATGTCTCTAATTAATCTCCAAAAATAGAATGACGTTACCTAACATGCTAATATTCTATCAGTATCAAAATAATATATAAGGAAATATTTTCAGAGATAAATGTTAATAGTACTGTGCTTACAGAAAACATGACTATTGCATTTTGTGTTGCCTTTATTTAAATAAAGCAATATATATTAATTGTCTTTTGGCACTTTTTGTAAGGCATTGAGAAACATTTCTTTGCAAGTACAAGGCAATACAATATTATACAACATTTGTGATTCATACTCTAACTCTTGAAGCAACTTCTTTTGAGGTGAAATGCTAGGTTAAAAAAAAAATGATTTGACCAAAATTTTTCAGATCCCACAAAGTTTATATAAGTCTTGCATGTAGAATAAGCCCCATTATCAGGCAAAATAAGGCAATAGCAAATCAATAGCACAATACAAACCCTTTGATTTGTGTCTACTTCATGTAACTTTATCTACTTAATTTTCAAGTCACTGTTTGGATATCAATAATTGAGGCTCCCTATTTTAATTAGAGATTCTGACAGTTTTTGAGTCCCTCTCTATTCACCTTAAAAGTGAAGCTTGCAACTGGAAATAGAATGTCTGAAAGCAAATTCTGCAAGAGAGATTTTCAACACGGTGACCTAATTTAGACTGGACACATGTTTTCAATTTAAGTCCCACAATCATTATTTATCCAAAATAAAACTAGCCAGTTTCAACATGAGTTATATGATAATTTGGTCTGACAGTGATGCTGTTATCTCCTCATTGTCCTTTATAATTGTTCATATGCAACACATATTGGATCAATTTACACCTCTGTTTCCCAATGTTCATATGTTGGCTGGGTATATTAGCATACTAAACAGGAACAGTAACTTTGTCAAGTAAACATAGCAGGAAAAGTTCCATCATGAAGATTATTTGAATTCATTTTTTCCTTTACTACCAAACAATACTATATAGAAAATGTAGATGATTTTATGCTATTCTCAAACTGATACAACAAGATCAAATGTTTTTCTGTCAAAGAAATAATTAAAATGGTTTGGTGATTTTACCTTAAAGACTCAATGGCATTATTTACAGCATTGGAGAAATTGGCATCCGTTGGAACATTTTCATATGGTATACAATAGTTGGGTCTGATTCCAAGGATTTCAACTTCACAGCCTAAGAAGAAACATTTCATTAGTTAAACAAAGATGACTAGGGGACTGGAAGCTAAAACATATAAGGAACGGTTGCTGGAATTGGGTATGTTTAGTTTAATGAAGAGAAGGAAGAGGGGGACATGATAGCAGTGTTCCAATATCTCAGGGGCTGCCACAAAGAAGAGGGAGTCAAGCTATTTTCCAAAACATCTGAAGGCAGGACAAGAAGCAACGGATGGAAACTAATCAAGGAGAGAAGCAACCTAGAACTAAGGAGAAACTTCTTGACAGAACAATTAACCAATGGAACAGCCTGCCTCCAGAAGCGGTGAATGCTCCAACACTGGAAGTTTTTAAGAAGAGACTGGATGGCCATTTGTCCAAAATGGTGTAGGGTTTCCTGCCTGAGCAGGGGGTTTATTTTATTTTTATTTTTAAAATTTATAAGCCGCCCCACTCCCGAAGGACTCTGGGTGGTTAACAATAAAAAACACATAAAACATAACAAAACAACAATACAAAAACAATCATCCAGGGGTAAGAGTTTATAAACCCCAGGCCTGCTGGAAAAGCCAGGTCTTAAGTAGCTTACGGAAGACCAACAGGGTGGGAGCGGTCCTAATCTCCGGGGGGAGCTGATTCCAAAGCGTGGGCGCCATCACAGAGAAGGCCCTCCTCCACGGCCCCGCCAAATGGCACTGCTTGGCCGACGGGACCTGAAGGAGGCCCAGCCTGTGGGATCTAACTGGACATAGGGAACTATGAGGTAGTAGGCGGTCTCGCAAATAGCCTGGCCCTGAGCCATATAGGGCTTTAAAGGTAATGACCAACACCTTGAATTGGACCCGGAGACCAATAGGCAACCAGTGCAGCTCACGGAGGATAGGTGTAACGTGGGTGTATCGAGGAGCACTCACTATCACTCGCGCGGCTGCATTCTGGACCAACTATAGTCTCCGAATACTTTTCAAGGGTAGCCCCATGTAGAGTGCATTGTAGTAGTCCAAACGTGAGGTGACAAGGGCGTGAGTGACTGTAAGGAGAGCCTCCCGGTCCAGGTAGGATTGCAACTGGTGCAACAGGCAAACTTGTGCAAAGGTCCTCCCAGCCACAGCCGTCAACTGATGTTCCAAATTCAGCTGTGGATCAAGGAGGACACCCAAGTTGCGAACCCGCTCCGAAGGGGGTATATTTTCCCCCGCAAGAGTCAACACTGGACAGTCGACATGATCCTTGGGAGGCAACATCCAAAGCCACTCGGTCTTGTCAGGATTGAGCCTGAGTCTGTTAACCCCCATCCAGACCCTCACGGCTTCGAGGCAACGGCCCATCACATCGGCCGCTTCACTGAGAGAGCTCGGGGAGGAGATATATAACTGGGTATCATCAGCATACTGATGAAACCTCACCCCGTGCTGTCTGATGATCTCACCCAGTGGCTTCATATAAATGTTAAATAGGAGGGGAGAGAGAACTGGCCCCTGTGGCACGCCGCATTCAAGGGGCCTCGGGGTTGACCTCTGCCCCCCCCCACCAATACCGATTGCGACCGGCCAGAGAGGTAGGAGGAGAACAACCGTTAAACTGTGCCTCCCACTCCCACCCCTTCGAGTCGTTGCAAAAGGATACCATGATCGATGGTATCGAAAGCCACTGAGAGGTCAAGTAGCACCAAGACAGAGGAATAACCTCTGTCTCGGGCCCGCCAGAGATCATCCATCAGCGCGACCAAAGCGGTTTCTGTGTTGAAGCCGGGCTTGAAGCCAGATTGAAAAGGGTCTAGATAATCCGCTTCATCCAGAGACTGTCGGAGCTAGAGCGCCACCACTCTCTCTACAACCTTCCCCACAAAGGGGAGATTGGAGACTGGACGGAAGTTATTTAAATCAGCCGGGTCCAGGGTAGGCTTCTTGAGCAGGGGCCTCACAACCGCCTCCTTCAGGAATTGTGGAAAAGACCCCTCCCTCAATGAAGCGTTGGTCAACACCTGGAGCCAGCTTCGTGTCACCTCCTTGGCAGCCGAGACCAACCAGGAAGGATACGGGTCCAATAAACAAGTGGAGGCGCTCATTGCTCCCACCGCTCTGTCAACATCCTCAGCGGTCACAGACTCAAATTCATCCCATAAAACTGAGCTAAGACCTGCCCCAGTCATCTTAAAAGGCCCTGCCCAATCGGAGTCTAGGTCTGTCCGAATCCGAGCAATTTTGTCTGATAAGAATTGCACAAATTCCTCCGCTCTATCCTGTAAGGGCTCCCCAGCTTCCCGAACATTAAGTAGGGAACGGGTCACCCTAAACAGGGCGGCGGGGCGAGATTCTGCAGACGCATAAGTGCGGGAAAATGCGAACATTTTGCCGCTCGTATCGCCACTAAATAAGTCCTAATATAGGCTCTTAGAAGTGTCCGGTCGGATTCGGAGTTACTAGCCCTCCAGCATCGCTCTAGATGTCTCTTCTGACGCTTCATCTCCCGTAGCTCCTCGGTAAACCAAGGTGCCCTCCGGGATCCACAATCACGGAGAGGTCGCAAAGGCGCGATCCGGTCTAACGCCCCTGATGCCACCTTATTCCAAGCAGTGTCCAAGGACTCAGCTGGTTCGTGGAGGAGGGAATCAGGAAAACCCCCAAGCGCTATTTGGAACCCCTCCAGGTCCATTAAACACCTGGGGCGGAACCACCTAATCGGTTCCACCTCCCTGCGGTGGGGGAGTAGGACCGAGAAATCTAACCTCAACGGGAAGTGATCCGACCATGACAAGGGAGAAGTGACTATATCCCTTAAATCGAAATCACGTCTCCACTGCCCCGAGAGGAATACCAAGTCGAGCGTGTGTCCTCCCCTATGGGTCAGACCCTGAATTATCTGGGTCAGGTCCATGGTTGTCATGGAAGCCATGAACTCCTGAGCCACACCAGAGGATTCGCCGAGTGATGGCGAATTGAAATCCCCCAGCACCATAAGCCTGGGGAATTCCACCGCCAACCCAGCTACCCCTCCAGCAGCTCAGGCAGGGTTGTTGTCACATAGCTGGGAGGCAGGTATGTCAACAACAAACCCGACTGAACCCTTGAATCCAATCTCAAGAGAAGGGACTCACACCCAACAACCTCTGGGGCTGGGATCCTGCGAGTCTCAAGGATTCTCGGACAAGAATCGCCACTCCCCCACCCCTTCCCTGGAGTCGCGTTTGGTGCATTATCTGAAACCCGTCTGGGCACATCTCTGAGAGAGGAACACCTCCCTCTTGGCCCAGCCAGGTCTCAGTAATACATGCCAGGTCGGCCTCCTCATCCAGTATCAAATCCCGGATGAGGGGGTTTTTATTAATAACTGACCTGGCATTAAGAAGCAGCAACCTGAGGCCAGGGTCCTGAACATCCCCCTCTCCAGGTATTGGAGAAGAGTCCAAGGGGTCAGAACAGGTAATCACTCTAATGCAGCGAGTCCTTCTTCCCCGAAGATGGCCCACCCTTGGCTCCCGCCATATCTACCTCTCCCTATGATAACCGGGATGTTCCGGCCTACCTCCACCCCCGAAAACTCCCCACCCACCCCGCAGGTCTCCCTCCCACCATCCCCCCTCCCGGCAGGCTACATCTCACATTCAAATCGAGCCGGGAAGTACATCCGGCCCCCCTCCACTTCTGTTTACACACTCAGCAGAGGGGGCACCAGTTCTTGTTCCCAGCTCCATCACTCACACCCATACACACCCTAATACAATAAACTAAAAAAGGTTAAAAAAACAATCATACAATCAGCATACACTAGCTAAAAGATTCTGAGAATCAAGGTCAAGAGTCACAAAGGGCCAGCCCCTCCTCCCCCGGCAGCAGCGGCAGCAATGACAACGGGATGGTGCCAGCCAGGCCCCCCGTGGTGTGTGGCGGCCCCACTGGTCTCGCAAGGCCGGACCGACAAACATGGCCACACGATGAAAGGGTGTAGCCCGCCAGAGGCCACGAGGAGAGAAGGGCCTAGTGTTTCTCCTCCTCCCTCTACAGTCGTCCTCTGGCGGCGGCGGTCCTCCCACAAGGTTCCAGCTGGGCAGTGCTGATGCGGCAATGGCGACTGGCTGGCTCCGTCTCTGGGGCTCTCCTTTCCGCTGGTCTTCCAGCTCCAGGATATGTTGGAACACATATGGGATACGTTGGGCATTACTCACGTAGCGACAGTTCTGTTAGACCATTCGTTTCCTCGCAATGCTTTTAACCCACGGATTTAACAGTGGTCAATCTCTGGCAGCAGCAGCTTGCACAAGATGATAATGGTCAGTTTCTGGCAATAGCAGCTTGCGTGAGATGGTAGTTAATCTTTGTGAACAGCAGTTCACATTAGATGATGGTGGTCAGTCTCTGGCAACAGCAGCTTGCATGAGGTGATGGTGGTCAGCTTTCATGAGATGGTGGTGGTCAATCTCTAGCAACAGCAGCTTGCGTGAGATATAATGGTCAGTTTCTAGCAATAACAGCTTGCGTGAGATGGTAGTTAATCTTTGGGAACAGCAGTTCACATTAGATGATGGTGGTCAGTCTCTGGCAACAGCAGCTTGCATGAGGTGATGGTGGTCAGCTTTCATGAGATGATGGTGGTCAATCTCTAGCAACAGCAGCTTGCGTGAGATGATGGTGGTCAGTCTCTGGCAGCAGCAGCTCATGTGAGGTAATAGTTATTGGTTTCTGACAGCAGCAGCTTGCAGGAGATAATGGTAGTCAATCTCTAGCAACAGCAGTTCACGTGGGGTGATGGTGCTCAGTCTCTCACAGGCAACTCACGTTGGACTCAATGACCTCCAAGGTCCCTTCCAACTTTATTATTAATATTATTATTATTATTATTATTATTAAACCTTGCTTAAATTTTAAACCTAGATTGTGTGATATAAATTCAGGTTGTTTCTTGGATGGATTTTGGCTCTGAGACTGAAAGTTTTTTTTTAAATAGTAATAAAAATAGAAGAATTCATATTAAAAGCATCAGTATAAATATTTACACTGAAAGCTAACAATTGACAAT